GTGTGCTCCGATCAGATATGTCCCTCTCCCGGAGCTGCAGATTCAATGCCGTCCTTTGAAATAAATTCTCCTGTTGGGGGAGATATTTATTTCTAATGACAAATAAATGACATTTTGTCTTGAAGCATGGTGTAGCATGGGTACTAGTCTTCACGCCAGGTACTTGTATGTGGGTATATCTGCATGAGGGCTGACCCACCTGGAGACGGAGAGAGGAGCGGTGTCTTGGTTTCTAAGACCATTGGAAATATGTGTTTTCCAATGGTCTTAGGCTACCCCTGTGAAAGGGTCGTTTGACTCCCCCCCAAAGGGGTCACGATCCACACATTGAGAACCGCTGATATAAGGAAATAAAAAATACCATGGCTTGGGTCAGTCACAGTCACCTTATTCCTCAAAGTAACTTTCTTGCTTTTCAATAGTGTGCTCTAAAGAAGTCTGGTGCAGCAGATTTACGCAATGCAACACATCTTTTCCTTGTAATCTGTGTTCAACATCACAACAGTTTTTGCGACATTTTTTCCAAGCTGCCATCACAAAAATATGGCCATCACACCAAAAAATGAGGTTCAAACGAAACTGTTTTTATGAAAAAATCCACTGTGACCAGAGTAAACCTTCCCAAGTGACACCACTGGGTACACTAACTCTGAGCGAGTTGATCTAATCGCCTAGTGGGAAAAATGTGTACTACAAAAACTCCGCCCTGCGGAGCCTTTCCCTCCTTTGGGGGGAGGGGGGTGTTACCCCCCTATATGTCTACCTCCGTCTCTAGGAGGTTCTCAGTGCAGGGACCTCAGGTCCAAAGCACACACTCTGCTCCTATCTCTTCTTTCTTGGTGGTAGTTGGATCCCTTCTTTTGCTTTCTTCTCTCTCATTTTCTCTCTTGTGATGTAAAAGGTGATGCAGGTCATGCTCTGAAGAAACTCCCCTTATATCAGATCAGGCCTGTAACCTGAGTCAGGGTGTTGCATCCCTTTACAACTGGCTGATCACATCATGGGGGATGATTACTGTCATCATTACGTAACTGACAAAGTACAGCATTCATCATTACTCAAAAATGGACAAATATTTTGTGAAGGGCTGGTTGAGAAGTAAGGGGAGGGAGGGCATAATGTTATTTGTGACACAAACTGAAAGGCTGGTGGTTCTGCTGTTCAAACCCACTAGCCAGGAGGAGGTGAGAGGAGAGATTGCCTGGTATATGACCCAGGCAAAACTGGCAACCTATGGGGCAATATTGACTTGTTCTATAGCCTATGAGCTGGAATATATTGTACCTCTTACAGAACAGCAGGTTGGAGATGGAGCTGTGCACACCCCATACCAGATGGGGTAACATCAATGAAATGTTTGTAGAGTGTTTCAGTAGAAATTACTTTTTTATAAAATATTCCTGTAGTAAGTTATAACAAGAAAAACATTTGGGTACTGCACCACTCTTTCAGTGGTTGAATTTTATATTAGATGTGAATTAAGCATTAGTAAAAGGTTTGAAAAAATGCAAGAACAGGAAGACAAAAGCCCTCTTCTGCAAGTCCAGCTTACGTGTCATTATACCCCACCAGGCTAAAATTCTTTAAGAATGTACTTTGCGAACTTTCCAACGTGCCCTGTTACAACAAAGCACCTCCTCCGAGCACATGCTGTTGTTTCCGTCATTGCTCGTGTGGTCACTGATTTTGTCAAGATTTTCTAGTGTTTTAGCGACAATACTGTGTTAGTACCTGTTTGTGAACATGTATCAATAGCTTTTGCGGGAGAATGAAGTAGTAAATAAAGAGCGAAAAGTTAAAAAGGGAAAAAAAAGGCTTGTGGACCTTGACCACTGATGTTATCAAAAACGTCAACTCAGCGCAGAAAGAATTTACAACAGCATTCAGTCGTTAGTACTCGTCTAGTCTAAGAAATCCATTTCCGTAATTTACAACTATCTTGATCACCTATTCCTCCAGGGAGCGAACCGGCTGAAGCAGCACTGACATTGCCGAGTTCATACAGAAACCCTCGGACTGGGAGGGGCCGCGCTTCCAAGAACCAGGTGGGCGGAGCCACGTGAAACGGGCGATGACCAATCACGAGCCGCGTGGAGGAGGCCAGGCCCCCGGCGACCCGACTGGCCTCTGGGGAGACTAAAGCGCGGCCCGGTCCAGCCGCAGGCGCCCGAGGAATCGGCGCGACCGCCGGCCCTGCGCAGCTGCGCCCGAGCCCCGCGCCCCCGACCCCGGCGGCGCGCGCAGCCGAGGCCTCCCCTCGCGAGACTCGCCGCGAGTTCCCCTTCCGACGCACCCGCAGTTGGTTCCGGGGCGCGGCGGCTCCCGCCCCCGGCTCCGGGGCGGCGCTAGGCCGATTCCAGGGCCTCGCGCCCGGCGGCGGCGGCGCGGATGGAGGAGGCCGCAGCCGTGGTGGCCGCGGCCGGGGAGGCCGAGCTGTTCCTGTCCCGCCTCAGCGTGCCCCTCGAGACACTGGAGACGGAGTTGGAGGCGCGGGCCGAGGAGCGGCGCGGCGCGCGGGATCCGCTGCTGCGGCTCCTGCTGCCGCACAACCGGCTGGCGTCGCTGCCGCGGGCGCTGGGCAACGGCTTCCAGCACCTCCAGCTGCTGGACGTGAGCGGCAACGCGCTGACCGCGCTCGGGCCGGAGCTGCTGGCGCTGCGCGGCCTGCGCACGCTGCTGGCCAAGAACAACCGCCTGGGCGGGCCCGGCTCGCTGCCCAAAGGCCTGGCGCAGTCGTCGCTCCGCCGCAGCCTCCAGGTGCTCAACCTGAGCGGCAACTGCTTCCAGGAGGTGCCCGCTTCGCTGCTGGAGCTGCGCGCTCTGCAGACCCTCAGTCTGGGTGGCAACCAGCTGCAGAGCATCCCTGCCGAGATCGAGAACCTGCGGAGGTGAGCAGTCCGGTGGGGGAATGAGCGCGACCGGGGGTGATTGAGACCCAGAGTCCCTGGTAGGGTAGTGGTTACGATCCGCGTGGCCGGCCGTTCAAAACCACCAGCAGCTCTTTGGGGACAAGACTGGGCTTTCTACACCCCTAAACAGTTACAGTCTCTGAAGCCCACACGGGGTTTCAGCATTGACGCTATAGCAGGCCCCGTGTGGAGGCCCCACAGCCTGGCTTTTAATTTTAACTACGGTCATTTATCTTGCAACTAACTTTTTCCAGGCTCACTCTGTTTGGTACCAGCCATCTCAGGGATTTGTGGTGACCATCGTATAATACATTTGGTATGGTATGCTTGCCCCATGCCGATTCTCGAGGTAGTATTTATGCCTCTTTTCTTGGGTCTAGGGGAGTGATCCAAATTGAGTAGGTACTTGTGTTAGGCTAGATTCTCTGGAGAAGCAAAATCAGTACACACACGCACACACACACATTATACATATGCACTCATATAGCAAGTGAGTGACTGATATCAGGAAAATGGCCCACAGAGTTGCAGAAGCAGGTAATATGCCCAGCTCAGTTTCGAGTCGGCTGTTAAGCTGGAGGCTTTTCCTGTCTCCCTTAGCTTGGGGCTGATGAATTCAGAATCAGAGGAACACCACAGACTGCAGAGGCAGATGCACACAAGGTCGCCAGTAACTCCTGACTAGAGGCTTGTGAGTAAGCAGGCTTGTGACTGGAGAGGAGACTGAATCCACAGTTGGCAAGTTAGATGGCAGGCCTCTTATGGTTCCTAGTATGGGTAGGCAATATGGCAGCCCTTTGGTGCAAGTCCATAGAATTGAGGATCAAAGAACCAAATGTAGGATTCAGACTCAGCAAAAAGCAAGTGTGTTTTTCCACAGCGTCTACTTATGTATAGAAAGTATGCCAATCCCTGAGGAAACCTTTGAATTTTATCAGCTCTATGGCCTAAGTAAGGGGATTACATTCCACCCTAATCTTACAACTGCTTGGCTGCTCATGTTATTAAAAGAACTTCTTAGAATGCTTACTTCTTTTCCCAGATAGTCTCAATAAAATAGTTCCTTTTCTATGATAGCTTTCTGTTATTTTAGATTCACAATGATCTGTACAATTTTCTCATTACTGAAAAATGGGACTAATGAGTAACCGAGTACTAACTTATTCTGTTGATCTATTGTCCTTAGGCCGTAAGCCATAGGATCGCCAGACCAAGGGTCCTCGCAGCACTGCCTGAGCACTCATGTAGTTTAGTCTTGTGACCAGACAATTGATTTCTGCTACAGGGAAACCTTCGAAAGAAAACCAAAACTTGCAGTAGTGTCTAGTGGGGAAGAGAAAAAGAGCGAAGAAAGGGAAGGATGAGTCTGAGGTTATTTAAACTTTAAGTCTTCTTATTGTTACTAGGGAACCCTGGTGGTGTAGTGGTTACAATCCACATGGTCAGCAGTTCAAAACCACCAGTAGCTCTGCAGGAGAAAGCCTGGGCTTCCTGCACCTGTCAACAGTTACTGTCTGGAATCCACAGGGATCGCTATGAGTCAGTGTTAACTGAATGTCAGTGAGTTTGGTTTGTTTGTTTGTTTTACTTTTACTAAGCATTGTAAACAAAGAGATGCAATCTTGAAAGCTCTATAGAATCAGAAAAAGGAGAAAAGTATCATTGGTCTTTTTTTTTTTTAATATAAAATTTTAAATTGAAACTTCACTACCACATATTTAAGGGACAGAGGAGATTAGGAAACTCACACAGGAAATTCAACAATGAAAAAAATTGTACTAGAGAGAATATATATGATCAGGGATCCTGAAAAGGACTTAAGATATTACCTAGCTTCAGAGAGGTAAAAAATTTCATCAATGCAAAAGAATTGGAAATTTTTAAGCTGACAATTATGACAACCCCAATTAGAGTCTCAGACATGCTTCACTAAATTGACTAAATAGTAAACTGAAGTCAGCCAAAGAGGGAAACTGTAAGCTAAAAGACCTCACCGAGGCAGTCCCTGGAATGTCTTGCCAAAATAAACAAGTGGTGAGTCTGCGTAAATGTTGCGACACAGAAGGTAGAGCTCCACGTTCAAACTGCCTGCCTCCAAGCTCAGCTGAAGTCACAGCGCTTTGGAGAAGCTTTCCCATTCAGAACTACCGTGGTCTCTCTCTCTTTCTCAACTGCTGTATCATTTGTGGATTACCTGTTTAATTTGATTTTTCCATGCTGCTCTGTTCCTTTTTGGCCTTACTTTGTGTGATATTCCCTGTCATTGTAGAATACGGTTCTTAAAGATTGCATTATTTCTTTAGAGACCGATTATCAGTAACAAATTCTAAATGGAACATTTGCTGAATGATGAAGTGTATTCATTGTCGAAAAGATAACTTGGTATGTTGTCCTACTTTTATTTACTTTTTCTCTTTTTGCTCTTGTTCATTTACTTCTCTTTTGCAGTTTAGAGTGTTTATATCTCGGAGGAAATTTCATCAAAGAAATCCCACCCGAATTAGCCAATCTGCCGTCTCTGAATTACTTGGTGTTATGTGACAACAAAATCCAAAGTGTGCCTCCTCAACTCTCACAGTGAGTCGTTTCAGGTGGTTCATGTAGACACCGAAATCCATACCTGAGACATAGCCTCCCCTCACGTGCAGGTTGGATGTTTGGAAGTGAATGATGGGAATTACAGCTCTCAGCTTTGCTATGCAGTTAGTTTACCTATGTTTTATATTTATTTTTTGAACAATCTGGTTATTCAAAATATCTGTTTGGCTTGTTTGCTGGAATCACAACTGAAGCATGAATTTGGCATTAATTTCTTTAGTCTTATATGATTTTTAATACCTTTATATTTGATATGAAGGATCGTTTGCATCAAATAGCATATTAAAAAGGGGGTGATGTTCCCAAATCGAGCAACTAAGGAGCCCTGGAGGTATAGTGGTTTTGAGTTGGGCTGCTAACAGCAAGTTCATCAGTTCGAAACCACTAGCTGCTCCATGGGAGAAAGATGAGGCTTTCTGCGCTGGTAAATAGTTAGTCTCAGAACCCCCTGGGGCAGTTGTATCGTGTGTTATAGGGGCCTTATGAGTCGGATTCAATTTGATGGCAGTGAGATTGGTGGGTTTTTTTGGTGATGCTGTAGTGGGTGGGCTGCTAACCACACGTAAAGTTGGTTTAAACCCACTCACTGACCACTGGAGAAGGATGCTCCCATCTTTCTACCATAGGCAGTCTGCTCCCATAAAGATGTACAGTCTTGAAAATCTGATAAAAGGGTCGTTATGAGTCAGAGTCAATTCAGCAGCAGTGGGTTTGCCATTTGGGTTTGGGGCTAGTATTTGGAGCCTAGTGGGTCAGTGGTTAAACTCTTGTCTGCTAACCAAGGGGGGTTGGGTGGTTTAAATCCCCCCAACTACTTCATAGCCTGTGTCCATAAAGATTACAACTTTGAAAACCCTATGCGGAAGTTTACTCCTTTAGGGTCACTGTAAGTGGCAATGGGTTTGGTTTGGTGGTTTTGGAAAATTCATGGGCATTTGTAAACCTGCACTCTAATCTTAATTTTCCATAATCTTAATTGTTCATTGTTATGAGGAAGTCAGGCTCTTTATATACTCCCCAAAGATTTCTGAAGAAAAATGCTTCCCTTTCTTTATGATGCTGTTGCTTACTGTCATTGATTTGTGCACTGCATTGGTTGCAGGTTGCATTCGCTTCGTTCGCTAAGTCTTCACAATAACTTGCTGACATACCTGCCTCGAGAGATCCTCAACCTTATTCATTTGGAAGAGCTGAGTTTACGAGGAAATCCGTTAGTTGTCCGTTTCGTTAGAGATTTAACCTATGACCCCCCAACTCTCCTGGAATTAGCTGCACGGACTATTAAAACCCGAAATGTTTCCTACACTCCCTATGATCTTCCTGAGAATCTTCTCAAATACTTGAGTTTAGCCAGCAATTGTCCAAACCCAAAGTGTGGAGGTAAGTTAAATCATTGTTTATATTTTGTACACATTTAGCAGTTTTTAAAGAATGTTGGTGATAATTGTTTTAATTAAGTCTTTTCTCCGGAGTTAATCTCTGTTTCGGTTTCATTTTTTTCAGCCCTTTATCACAAAATAAGGCAGTTTACTCACCTTTTCTTTTTTAAAAACTCTTTGCATAACACCGAAGGGTTTATGCACAGGGAAGAATACCCAGCCTGTGCCATCCTGTGGTCAGAGGAATGAGATAAGAAAGTAAAATGGTAAATGAGAGGAAACAGAAATGCCTAATTGTTTTTAAAAGGGTCTCAGATGTTGGGATACCATTTATATTTATTTGAAAGACATTTTCTGAGATTCACCTTTATAGAGAATGATTTAAAGTATATGAAAATAGGCTGAATGGATATTGAATTGGGGATTGGGGATGTCCCTGGAACTTTATATAATTTTATATTCCTCGGTCAGTATTTCCTGAGGGTAGAGCATTTAGAGAGAATTAAATAAACTTTGTAAGGAAGTGTCCTAAGGACTTCCACATTCTGTTGGAAATCCATGCAGGAAGAGTACCTCTAATTAGCTCTGGGAAAGATGACTTAGTTCTTGAAGTAGGTCTTGACACATGACTAGGCACTGCTTCAGGGACTCTGGACCATTATCTCAGAGGGAGACCAAGGTCAATTGAATATTCTTTTTAATATAAAAGTTGTGTGTGAGGCAAATGGGACTTTATAAAGCTGATTTGGAGTCTGTGCCAGTGTGAAATGACTTTCTTTCTTTTCATTTCGGCTTCCCACAAAGTAAGGAGAGGAATGCTGTAAGCTCGCACTGTGCTGTCAGTTTTGAACGTGTTAACTAATCGTAACGAAGATGTGTTAGATTTTTTTTTCCAATAGATTTATTGGCACGTAATTTACAAATCATGCAAGTCAGTCGTTCAATCAAATCAAGAATTGTACAATCATTTCCACATCAATTTTAGAGCATTAAAATTGCTCCCCGCCCCTTGGTTACATCACCTTTAAAATGAGTTATGTAAGCACAGTCCATGCTTATGCGCCCTTTCCCCTCTATCACCACCCCCTATTCCTGCATTCCCTATATCCCCTAGTATCTGTTATTATCATTTTGTACTCACTTCACAGCTGGGAGACCCAACAGAAAAGAATGAAAAACAAAATCTCACTAAGGTAGTAAGGATGAAATCATAATAGTACAAAGACAAAAGTACAAATAATGCATAAGACGGAAAAGACTCCCATCAACATTCAAAAAGCCAGGAAAGAAATTTCTCTGTCTTGGAACCAGTAAGAGATACTTGTACCCAGAAAAATTCAGGTCATGTCCATAGGGAGGTCAACTGGCCAAGTGATGAGCTCATCCAGCATAATCATTACAATGGTCTCTGCCTGATAGTAATGCTGATTGTGACTCTTGCCTGTGGCTAGAGGGCATCTGCTGGCGGCTCAGTCTGACTAGATCCTCTGAATCTGCCACAGCTCAGTGGTTCTCAACCTTCCTGATGGCGGCCCTTTAATACAGTTCATGTTGTGACCCCCAACCATGAAATTATTTTCATTACTACTTCGTCACTGTCATTTTGCTACTGTTAGGAATTGGGCGACCCTTGTGAAAGGGCCGTTCGACCCCCAAAGGGCTCACGACCCACAGGTTGAGAACCGCCAGACTAGCTACTCTGATTTTTTTTTTTTTTTTTTAAAGCTTCTAGCTCTCCGTGGCATAGTGGTTACACGTGGGGTTGCAATTCACAGGTTCACATTTTGAAACCAGCAGCTGCTCCACAGGAGAAAGATGGAGCTTTCTACCCGAGAGAGTTCGTCTTGGGAACTCATAGGGGTGGTGCTCCCTGTCCTTCATCGTCGACTGGATGACAGTGAGTTAAGAGTTGAAGACCTTGTACGGTATACAACTGTGGAAGCCACTGAGTCAACAAAAGAGAAGAGTTTTATAACATTCCTGCCGAATTCTGGAGAAGGTTGAAAAAGAAACTTGTTCTTTACCCTGTAATGATGACTTTGTGTCTCTTCTTCTCTCCAGGCGTCTACTTTGACTGCTGTGTCAGACAGATTAAATTTGTGGACTTCTGTGGGAAGTACCGCTTGCCGCTGATGCATTACTTGTGCTCCCCAGAGTGCTCTTCCCCTTGCAGCTCAGCCTCGTACAGCTCCACCTCCCAGAGCGAGTCCGACTCGGAAGATGAAGCGAGCGTCGCTGCACACAGGATGCAGAAGGTTCTCCTCGGCTGAAAGTGCGCAGAGGCGCTTTGAGAGGAAAAGGGTTTGAAGTTCACTAGAACCTCACCTCATTTCATCGTGAATGTCCCTGTATGTACTGGCGAGGATGTAAAAGATTTTGTGTTTCAGCTACTCTCTCAGCAACAATCCAACTCCATGTTTGTATTCTTTGAATATAATTGTCTCTGAATGGCAGTTTCAAATCTGGTTGATTTTAATCTTCACTCAAATTTTGCAGGAATCACCCAGCAGAATGAGACATTCAGAACAGTACTGTACTGAGCCGTGACTCGTGGCAGTAGAAATGACGAGAGAGAGCTGTACATATTTCCAGAGTTGGCCTTGGGTTTAGGTTGAACTCTGAGTCATGAAAGAAATGTTACCCCCCTCTTGTACTGGGCATATATCTAAATTATAGTGCTATTCAGATAAACCCAGAGCTGGTTACATAGGACCCTCATCTTCCTGAACTGCTGTGGAAAAGTAAGGAATATAACTTTCATATGGGACAGTGAAGCTCTTCAGTTCTGCTCCTGTATTCTACATGGTTCTTGTTACACCAAGCCAGCAAGGGCTGTTAGTATAGTGCCTTATTCCTAATAAAGATAGAGAATCTCATTCAAGAAAAAAATGCTAGAGCTGCCTATAACCTGACGTACTATGCAGAACACTTTAAAATATGCTTTATTAGAACTAGGTCAACAAGCGTGTCTGCCATCTGAGCACCTGCGCCTTAGCTGCGTGTTTTTTTGAAACAGCAAGTGAATTCTCTGCACGCAGCTCACTCTGGGCACTTTCTGGGAAGCCACGGTCTTGACCCATCTGTTCATCATACGCGCGGACACCAGTTCACAGGACAAAGAATTCGGATAGATGTAAGCCATGAAAGCTCTTATATGCCTTACATTACAAGAGAGAAAAGAAGCAAGAAAATGTATGTAACGCTTTTGATCGCCAACTCTGACGTTTGCCTGTGCCAGCCAACAAGAACTGTCACTTTCTAATACAACTTTTAACTCTCACTAAACTAGTACAACTAGCCAAAACAAATTAGGGGCAGGAGTCAGTTTGTCTCCACAACTGATTTTAACCATGGAATACATATGGAAAATAACGCATCGATGATAGAGAAAACTCCATAAAAATACAGTGGAAAATGTTTCACAGATTGCTATAAGAAATTACCAAATTTTTGTATTTACTATGTTGTACAAATTGAATAATAGTACAATCTAAGTTGGTATTACAAGATAAAATACACAACACAGAATAGCAATAATTAAATAATCAACATATAATAACACAATGGCTTATTGGTAAGTGTGGCTTATCCCGCCCGTAATGTACAACCCTGACATGCGTTAGATCAGATGACCTGCTTCCTGACTGGATGGCCTTCCAGACTAGGGTACACCATTTCTGTTGCCCAGATGTCTAGATCACACGTCTAGATTGTTGTATAATAATGATTTATACTTGTATTATGTATTTTCTTATCTGTGTACCATATTTTAGAGGAAAGTGTAATGTAGAATAGTGTGTGTGTGTGTGTGTGTGTGTGTGTGTGTGTTTTCATGAAACCATGAGTTTCATGAACTGCAGTTGTGAATCGCTGCTATAGAGTGAATCATTTCACTTTGTTTATATTGTAGTAAGAGTCTACCTTCGATTCAGAAATTTCTGTTTAGAGGTAACCTAGTGTATTTCTTATGCCTAGCAAACAGTACCTGAGTTATTGCGTCATAAAATGGAAATGATAAAAAGTAAGTCTACTTTGCCGCCCCCATTTGAGCCACAGTAAACTGCAAACCACCAGATTATGAAAGGTAAAGATGACTTAGACAGTGCTTACATGACAAACCCAAAATATTTTGGAACTTGGTTAAGATACATGAAATATTTTCATAGAAAATGAAGAATGTATATGTACATAGTAAAATACACAAATTCTTATGACCAAGTTTTTCTCTGTTTTAAATGTCTTTGTTTACTTTCCATGTGGCTGCCAGCTTGTCCTAAAATATCTCGGGTACTCTAAGAGCTAGTCTCTGGGTGAAGTCTGCAAGCATTTTGCTTTAAGCTCACCTAAGCCCTTGCAGCTTCCTCGGAAGAATGGATGCGCCTGAACTTTGATAGACATAGGCAGGTTCAACCTGAACAAGCTTCCTTTGTTTGTTTAGCCTTTGCTATACAATATAGATTTATACTGTAGTGTTTCTCAACAAAATGTACAGTTGAAAGTCTATAATCTGTGTGTAACCAACTTTGGTGCCTTTGAATGAAATCTATATTTTAGTTAGTAGGTTTTTTTGTTGGTTTTTTAATCTTTGACCTAACTTTTTACAAGAGCTGCTAATAGTTTTTCCTATTTTTCTTCATTTCTTTCCCCTCCCTCCATCCCACCCTTTCACTTTAATAATGGGACGGGATAATTAGGAAACCATAATATCGACTCCCAAACCATAGACTGTATTTAGAATGAGAGCCTTTCTCATTAGTTGTTACGTCACATGTTTATGTCTAAACTAGTTAATAAATGTCACCTGTTTTGTTTTTGTTTTTTAGCGATTTAAAAGAAAACGCCAAAGCCTACCTTTCATAATGAAATAAGATTTTTATCCCACTCTTGGATGATTTTATCAACTGAAACTCTGTGGACCAAAGCATTAATATTTTTAGAATGGAGTTTTTAATACAAATATTTGAAATTGGGATGGGTACAGCATACGATCTGAGAATATTTTTCTCAGTGTCCTCGGCAGTGTCAGCGGGATATCGCTTAGGAAATAGGAAGACAGTACAGAATGTCCACAGTGCCAGGGATTAGCTAACCTCAGGACCAGCTTGTCAGGACTCTGGTATTTCAGTTTTTCACTTGTTAAAATATAGGTCCAAGGTGATCATTCTTATATGTAAATGTGTGCCAGAGGTCTCTCTTACTTGAAAATTCCTGATATTTGGGACTTTTAAATTTGCCAAATTTAAAAATAGAGACTTGCTTTGTAAAGGATACATCAAGGTAAAGGAAATTTCGTAGGTTTGTAGATAAGCTTAAGATGCAGTCCATACCTAGTGCATGGTAAAACTGCAGACCAGTTCTACTGGACATAAGGAGTGTTACATGAAAGAAGTCTGTAGTAGCCTCAAAGGACAGGGAAAGAACATTCTTAGACTCCCAGGGATGGCCCAGAGCCAGAAAGCCCACAAAGTAATTTTAAAACAATCCAAATTAAGTTTTTAAGTGGCCCACTGACTACCGTTTGAAGGCCTCTATCACCAGATTTAGTCACTTTCTCTCCTGGGAGATTAAAAAATTAGCAAGTAGCAGGACCTCCTAATGACCTACCTTGATCTTCGCAGTGGGAGACAGGCATACTTATTAATCTGGAATTTGTGGTTCAGCAGGCCTCCTCACCCCTTTAACACTGCAAATAAGAAAGGGACAAGGGGTGGGGTGGCTAAGCCAATAATTAGTAGAGATAGCTGGACCTTTTAAAGTATTTTAGCAATAACTATTTGCATAAGTAGCTATAATTGCTATACCTGAATCTTCAAGTTTTTATCAGTTATAATGTGTGCATGTAAATTAGTTATGCTGCATTTAGTGGGTTATGTGTTAGGCTGTTAACCACAAGGTCAGCAGTTTGAAACCACCAACCACTCCACGGGAGAAAGGCAGGCTTTCTACTCCCGTCAAGAGTTACAATCTTGGAAACTCCCAGGGGCGGTTCTACCCTGCCCCATGGGGTCGCTATGAGTTAGAATCAACTCAATAGCTGTGATTTTGAGTTGAGCTTGAATTTAGGATACCCTGGTGGTGGTGTAGGATAGCATTGGTTTAAGCCGCTCTGACGGAAAAACCAAAAAAAAAAAATGAGGCTGTTTGTTCCTATAAAGAACAGTCTTGGAAACCCTACTATGAGGGTTTAAAGTTGCTATGAGCCAGACTTGGGCGCTGGCTGTGAGTTTGGTCTGGGGTTAACACTTCCCTCATTCAGAGTAGAGATTGTATTATGTCATACAGATATTAATACCCAGTTATCTAAAATGGTGTGCTTTTAATTTGTGCTGGGTACATGATAGTACTATTATGTATATATTTTTAGGCCCTATGATCTAGAACAGGGGTCCTCAAACTACAGCCCGTGAGCCACATGCGGCCCACCGAGGACATTTATCCGGCCCGCCGGGTGTTTTTACCCCGTTTTGTTTTTTTACTTCAAAATAAGATATGTCCAGTGTGCATAGGAATTTGTTCATAGTTTTTTTTAAAACTATAGTCCGGCCCTCCAACAGGTCTGAGGGACAGTGAACCGGCCCCCGGTTTAAAAAGTTTTAGGACCCTTGATTAGATTCTATAATAAATACCCAGTTCTGATTCACTTTGTGTAAAAGAGAAATACTTCATCTTCAAATTCTCTATACTAACCTTGACACCCTTTGTCGCATTAATCTAATGAATGCTATTGCAGCAGCCATTTTTCTATTTTCGTTGTAATCGTGGTTTACTGGCAGCAGCGGCTTCACTTGTCTTCAGGAAGTAGGTATGTGCCTTAAGCGTGGGGAGCCATGGGTGTTTGAGACCGCCTCAGGACTCAGGAGTTGAGGGAGAAGGACCAATCCTGAGAGACTCCCGACCGACCGAGGGCCTCAGCCTCTGTGAATCCACGGCTTCTGGGGACGGAACCCCTTAATGTTCTCCCTGTCGCAGAAGGTCACAGCTACGAGGATCAGCTGCCCCCTGAAATCAAACAAGTGAAACGGTGTGTTTTATAAGGAAAAATTATCTAGTACCACTAGTGGATTATAACAGTTCCTAATCAGCTTCATATTTACACCATTATATAAAGATAGTGCATGACACAGCATTTTTTCCATTGGTTAGCTTTGTGGTGCTAGGGTACAAGGGGGCATGCTTTAGTCAGTTTGCATGTAAATAGTTCCATTCTTGTTTTATGTCTCCATCCCATCTTTATTGATGTAGAAAATAACAGTTCACTAACAGGCATTTCACTATTGAATTCAGGGGGTACCATTGATTTGGGTGCTACTTGATTTTTACTGCGCTTTGGTTAGTCTCAGTTGCTGTTGTATGGCATAGTATACAGTCTAGTAATTAGTAACATGTTAGTAGAATGGACGTTAGTTGTATACTGTCATACTAGAAAGCCACGGTGAAGAGACTGTGCATTCCCCAGAACTTTCTTTAAGTGAATAAATTGGCCAAGACTCTTTCATTCTAAATCCCAGTGAGAGGAAGATTGACTATTGCCGATACTCCAAAAAGTAGAACAAAACCTAAGTTGGTCACTTTTTCTGTGTACCTTGGTGTTTTAAGAAACTCTTCCACGAACTAGACTGGCTTCCCTTGACATCATATTGAGACAGACCGTGAACCGCAGTCACCACGACGACCCAGGTGCCTGTCGTTGAAGCTTGCTCTCCTGGAGCTACTTTGGATTTAGGAGAAGCAGAAACACGAGTGAAGTATAGAAAAAATCAGTATTTTATTTTTTAGATTAAATGTTCAGGATTTAAAGGTGTCAGCAAAGAGTAAAAAGATCTTCTACTTTGATCACTTGTTGATTTCATATTCTGAATTTGAAATCTTAAATTAGAAACAGATGTATCAGAACTTAACAGTATAACAGTAAATAGTGAGACTCAGCAATTAAATTTTATTTCAGAACAAAATACAGTTTGCTGCATCAAATTTACAAAAATAAGTGCTCCAAAAATAACACACTTCTATTTCATTACCTTTTTTTCCCTTCTGAACATGCAAAAGACTGTGATCTTATATTAACTAGCCCTTTGTGTGAATTTTGCCAATCAAACATTGTACCTAATTTTATTAAAAAGTATTTTGTTGAAATCTGACTGTATTCTTGGAAATGAACAGTGTTATGATTTTAATTGACAAGCATTTAAAGAAAACTTTTTGGGAAAAATTCTTTTACTGTTGATATTTGCCTGGTTACTTGCTGTGCCATTACTCACCTGTTTATTAAATGTGTTCACTGCATAAACCCATTAAGGCATGTACTCTCTGTGCTAGACGCGAGGGAAAAGAGATGAAGGAGACCATGCCCCTGTCTGCTAGAGTTCCCTCGGCTTCACAGTTGCATGCTCTAGTAAGGAGTGGGTGAGATCATCTTGCTGACTCTGGCTATGTACTTCTTGCCGTTAGCCCCAAATAACACCATCTTAACCCAAAGTATTATAGTAGGTGGCATAATTCAAAGCATTGGTAGTACTCAGTATCACAATGAACATACTGATAATTAGTTTATATTATTCTTTTAGGGACCTGGGAGTACCTGATGTCATTTTAGATTCCAGAATTTGATAAGAGTACTGCAGTTATGAATTGGCCCAAATGGGTTGGGTAGGAAAAACCCCTTTGTAAGTCATCTGATGATTCTGATTTGCTGAGACAGGAAGCTCATCACTACCCTGGCTTGTGCACAGGCTGTGAGGGAACATGCCCAGCTGGGTTTGTTCTTAGCCCTTGTGCCTGAAGAAATCTTTCTTCTCTAATGACTTGTTTCATTGTAGATACTAAATAGGAGAAATCAGAAATTTGTCTCAGGTGCCACAGGTTGAATTTTGAATCCAAGCTTCTGGGTTCACACTTCAGTACTGTTTCCTTCGGCTCTGACTGGCTTCACCTGAGTTTGACCCATGCTGAAGGTTTGGACTTTTACCCCAGATATGGAATCAGAATTTACAGTTTAACAAGATTTATAAGAATCATGGGATCTGAAAAGGAAGAAGCTTTAGTGGTTAAGCGTTGGGCTGCTGAATGCAAAGTCAGCAGCCAGCCTGCTCAGGGAGAAAGGGCTTTCTACTCCCATAAAGAGCAAAGGTCTTGGAAACTCGGGGTGGGGGTGGGGGTGGGGGTGGGGGCAGTTCTACCCTGCCCTGGAGGGTAACCTTCAGCAGTGAGGAATTTGAGAACGAGAGGCAAATTAGCAGGTGGTAGAAGCTGATTTCCATTAGAAGGGTTAGAAGCCCTGATTTCCATTGCAGCACCGTTCCTGTAAGGAACCCTGGCAGGCTTTGGGTTAGGCAGTGGGCTACTCATTGCAACATTTATGGTTCAAACCCACCAGGAGAAAGGAAGCTCTCTGCTCCTGGAAAGCTTTACAGAAATTCTATATAAAGATGCTCCTTGAGGAGCTGATACCAAGGGCTCAAGTAGAAAGCAAATGTTTTGAGAATTGATGATGGCAACAAATACACAAATGTTTGACACAATGGATGGATGTATGGATTGTGGTAAGAGTTGTACAAGCCCCCAATAACATGATTAAAAAGAAAAAAAGATGCTCCAAGTAGGCACTCACTCAATGACAGCATGTTTGGGATATGGGTCTGTAGCAGACAAAACAAAAAACGACCAAGAGCTGAACGGAGAGAGCAGTTTCTTTGCACCAGGGCTCACAGACCCACATGGCAGTACTGCCCCCAGCAATGGCTGGCTGGACTGGAAAGGACTCAGGAAGCAGTTAGCTGTGGAGGCCATTCCTTTTTTAATCAATTTTCAGTGAGATGGGTTACTGAAATGATTTAAAAGTGATTGTTGATTATCTTTGGGATTAAGAGAGGAAACATTCACAGTACATATTGGCTGTGTCCTGGCCTAGCTACCTGAGCAGGTGGTGTCTGGGTGACCCAAGGAACACACTGGGCATGCCTCCTTAGCTGAGATGTGGCCAGTGGCGTGTTAACTAGTGAGCGCCCAGGGTGGGTTTATGCTCCTTTATGCAATGCTCTGATGGGAACTCAGGAACGTGACCGGTGCTGCACTTTAGTTCACCTACCAGCACTGAAGTCCTGCTGCTGCAGTCGGTTCCTGAATGTAGAGGGTGAGTCGGAAAGTATTACGCCTAGGTTTCCAGTCGTAGGTGGGTGGGACTATTCCAAACATAGCATGTTTAAACCTATTTCTGACCCGTGGGTGGTTGTGGACAGGTTCTCTCAGTCATGCATTTAAGTTTTGATAAGGTGCCTTCAACAACAACAAAAGGCCAATCAAACTAGTGACTTTTATTAGGGAATCCACTGAGCCTGTCAGATTCAAGACCGGTCAACTCGAGGCTATGGTGACTTGTGGGGGAACCCCAAAGGAGTAATTTTTTAAAAAGTTTTATTGGCATATATTTTCCATATAATACAATTTACTAGTTCAGTCATATTAAGAAGAGTTGTGCAATCATCACAATTTCAGATTTTTTTCTTACACTTGTTATCTCCCCATTTCCCCCTAACCTCCCCCGCCATGCCCCTAGGAATCCAGTTACTGTGTCTATAGCTTTATCCTGGATTTCATATACAATAAATCATACAAAAAAACTGACAAAACAAAATAGTAAAACCTCAATAGAAAAGAAAACAAAATGTTAAAAAGTGAAACAACTTTAAAATGAGTCAAAAGGGAAATCAAGTGATAAGATGTTCCATTTTAACCTGACTACATCTGCCAGGAATGGACTATATTGCTCCATGATAGCATGACTATTCCCAACCCTGGACTATGGTCAGAGGGCATCCATTTGCCCCCGCTTAATTCAGCAGGAGCCCAGGTAGCATAATGGTTAACCTGTTGGGCTGCTAACTGTAAAGTCAGCAGTTTGAAACCACTAGTTGCTCCATGGAAAAAAAATAAAGCTTTCTACTTCTGTTACATCCAGGAACAGGAATGGGAGTAGTGATACCAGGAGGAGAAGGGGAAGGTGGGGAGAGGAAGGGGGAACCTATTGCAATGGTAGACACATAACCACACCCCCCGGGGGGGATGAACAACAGAAACTGGGGGGGTGGGGGGAGACAGTGGTGAGTGTAAGATATAATAATTTATCAAGAGGTCACGAGGTGGGAAGGAAGAGTATAAAGAGGAGCTGATACCAAGGGCTCAAGTAGAAAGTAAATGTTTAGAAAATAATGATAGCAACATATGTACAAATATGCTTGATAAAATTGATGTATGGATTGTTATAAGATCTATAAGAGCCCCCAATAAAGTGATCTTTTAATTAGTGAAAAAATTTTTAAAAAGAGAATTATTGTCTTGGAAACTCATAGGGGCAGTTATCCCCAGTCATATGGATTGCTATGAGTTGAATTTGACTCGATGGCAGCATTTGTTTTTTGTTTTTGGGTTTGTTTGTTTAATCCATGTAGTGATCCTACAAATGGATTTTGGGCTTCCACTGTCACCCATATCACCCATAATCTTCTGCAAACCGGGTGTCCAGAATTTAAGTTTTGATACTGTTACCACCTCTGGATTTGGGTTTTATTATTTACAATCCTGGCACCATATAGGCTGGTGTTCTTCCATGTGGATTTAATTGATGCCTCACTTAGATGACTGCTTGTTTTAAGACAAGCCTTTAAGACCACCAGAAGCCTGTCTTTCTGATAGCTTGATACCATCTGATTTCTTCACCACACTTTGCTATAGTCTCCATATCTTTACTGATCTCTTTTTGAACACAATCTAAAGTCAACAACTAGTTGTTCTTAGATTAGGGCTGTGATTGTGAGTCAAAAATCCCAAAGGGGTAATCTTGATAAATTTTTTCAAAGGGGTTTTAGGGTACAAAAGAGAACCCAATTTCAAGTATATTTTAAGGAGAGTATTAACTCTTAAGAGAAAGACAACACAGAGACACAGACCCATCATCTGGATGAGGGAGGCCATTATCACGAGGTCATTCATAATGGTGTCCAAGGGTTTGTTGCCAGAAAACTAAGTTAAATAAGGCAGGGAACAATGGAAACCATTACAAATTCATGATAGGTGACAGATTGACATCACGTTTACAGGTGGGACTATGTAAGCAGGAAAAGTACCATGAATGGGACACATGCATTATATATATATTTAAAAAAATTTTTTTTCACATGCATTATATTATCTAGAAGAGATTACATGATTGGTCCAGGACCTTCCAACCAAGGTAATCAGGGCACAACTGATAGGGTATAACTCATGACTATGCTACTCCCAGTACTGTCTTTATTAAAGACACACCATGCAACCCTCTAAGAGACTGTCTCTCCCTGGGGTAGCTGGAGAGGGGTTAAAGTTTATCCACTTTCTAATGCATCTGATGGAAGGCAAGATTATAAAAATCCTTGGGTAATGATCAGAAGGAATTCAATGAAGGTATAATGTGCAAATGAAGTTTGGGCTATCACTGTTCATAGCCTTTTGCAAACCAGGGTGCTCAGAATTTGCTGTATATACTTGAGTATAAGTCAACCTAAATATCAGCCGAGGCACCTAATTTCACCACAAAAACTGCATTAAAAATGTGCTGGAAAGCTCGGCTTATACACAAGTGTATATGGTAAGCTGTAAGACAAAGGACACAGGTTGATCGTGGGGGTTTATTAAGAAGTTTTAAGAAAATTTAAAATGCAGTGGTGAGAGAAAGGCCAGTAAATTTGTACTGAGGATTTTTTTTGAATTTTTTTTCCATTCAGACAATGCCCTGACTCATTATTTGTGAGTAACAAGGGCTGCCCTACAGAATGTCTGAAACCCTGATCTTGTTCCTTCAGACTCTTGCTCCCAAATTAAAAAAAATACATGATTGAGTACCTCAAGGATGTCAAAGCTGCTGTACTGATGTGGTATAAAGGAGTGAAGAATTTCTCCAGGAAAAGTTAAAGCCTCATAAGTGTATAGACTTAGGTGGGGGATATGTTGAGAAATAAGAGCTTTACATCTTGATGTTTTTGTTTCATAAGGGTTTTTAAGACTTTGCTGACGTCAGCTGGATTGGGATTGCAAGAAAACATCACGAAGATATCCCTTTGTTTTTCATCGACTATGCAAAGATATTGAATTGTGTGAATTTGAATTGGAACAAACTATGGGTCATATAGTAAAGAATGGAGATTCTGTACATACATCAAGTGCAGTTGTTTGAACAGAACCAGGGGATCTAAATTTAAAATCAGGAAAGGTGAATGGCAGGGCTGTATTCTTCCCCTATAGTTATTCCATCTGCATGCTGAGCAAATAATCTGAGATGCTGGACCACATAAAAAAGAACATGGTATCTGCATAGGAGGAATGCTCACCAACACTGTGATGTTCATATGATACACAACCTTGCTGAAAGCTCAGAGGACTAGAAGCACTCACTGAGGAGGACAAAGACTGCAGCCTTCAGTACATATCACAACTGTGTAAAAACGAAAACAAACAAAAATCTTCACAACTGGACCAATAGACAACAGCATGATCAATGGAGAAAAGATTAAAGCTCTCAAAGATTTCATTTTACTTGGATCCATGAAGTCAGCAGTCAAGAAATCCAATGTTGCACTTCCGGTCCGCCGCCCGGAGCCGGCGCCCCGCGGGCGGGGCACGGTGTTGGCTCCCAGCCGCCTGGCCGCCCTCGGGGAGCCCAGGGTGAAGAGCAGTGATGCTCACTCTGGCGAGCAAACGGAAGCGGGATGACGGGCTCAAAGGGTCCCACTCCTCAGCCCCCACCTCCGATTCCACGCGGAGCGTGTCTGTGAGAGACAAGCTGCTCGTCAAAGAGGTGGCAGAGCTTGAAGCAAACTTACCTTGTACCTGCAAGGTGCACTTTCCTGATCCCAACGAACTCCACTGCTTCCAGCTAACCGTGACCCCAGAGGAGGGTTACTACCAGGGTGGAAAATTTCAGTTTGAAACTGAAGTTCCTGATGCCTACAACATGGTGCCCCCCAAGGTGAAGTGCTTGACCAGAATCTGGCACCCCAACATCACAGAGACGGGGTACATCTGTCTGAGTTTACTGTGAGAACATTCGATTGACGGCACTGGCTGGACTCCCACGAGGACGCTGAAGGATGTTGTTTGGGGATTAAACTCCTTATTTACTGATCTTTTGAATTTTGATGATCCACTGAATATTGAAGCTGCAGAACATCATTTGCGGGACCAGGAGGACTTCCGGAATAAAGTGGAACACTACATGAAGCGGTACGCCAGGTGATACAGGAGGCCTGCAGGGCGGGGACTGTGCGCTGCCCTCCGTCCTGATCACGGTCCCTCTCTGTCCCACCGGGCTGGACCAGCCTGTGACACACTGCTCTGAAGAACAGCTTCCACCTGCTGGAGAACGCCATGTAAGGACTGTAAGCAAGGAATGTGTCTTGGGTTCTAAAAAATCGTCTGCTTTCCTTCTTAGCGTGGGTCTGGTTTGAACCTGCACCACACAGGCTGCTGGTGGAATTCCTGCCAAGTTTCAATGACCTCACAGTCTCCTCCAGTTTGCTGACCCCTCCCCACAAACCGCCCTGCTCCAGTGATGGGAATGATGTGTACCCTGTGACCCGCAGAGTGTCAGCAGAAACCTGCTGCCCAGACTGCTTGGATGCAAAGCCTCCTAGCCCCCTCCCCATCGTGTGCTGGGACCCTGCCCAGGGGTTGCCAGGCTCCCCAGAAATGCAGTCATTTATTGTCTACCTTCCTGAGATGCATTGGTTTGTTTTTTATTTAATGTAAGTATATTTTGGAGAAGAAAAAAAAAGAAATCAACTGTTGGATTCCATTGAGTCAATCCGCAGCACAAGACCCCTTTAAGATGTTAAAAATAAAGATGTTACTTTCAGGGCTAGAGTGCACCTGATCCGAGCCATGGTCTTTGGGATCACCTTGTAATGCATATGAAAGCTGGACAGTGAACAAGGAAGACTGAAGACTTGTGTTTGGATTACAGTGTTGGGGAAGAGCAGTGAAAGTGACATGGACTGCCTGAAGAACAAACCAACCAACTGTGTGTGTGTGTGTTGGGGGGGGGGGGGACAAGTACACTAGAATGTTCCTTAGAAGCCCGGATGGCAAGGTTTTATCTCATGTACTTTGGACATGTTATCAGGAGAAACCAGTCCTTAGAAAAGGATGTCATATTTGGTAGAGGGTCAGGGGAAAAACAGGAAGATCTTCAAGGAGGCAGACTGACAGGGCGGCTGTAACTCCGACCACAAATAGGGCCAGCAAAGAAACTACTTAACAAACGTTTAATGAATGCTTGTGTATTGTTCAGGAGGCTGATGTAGTGGTGGATTATGGGCTTCCACCAGACACACTGAGGGAGAAAGAGGAGGCTTTCTAAATATCGGTCATCTTGGAAACCCAAAGGGTCAGTTCTACCCCATCTTACAGTCAGAATCAACTTATGACAATGAGGGTTTTATTTTATTATATTTATTTTTAAGATCATTTTGGGGGGGGGCTCCTACAGCTCTTATAACAATTCATACATCAATTGTATCAAGCATATTTGTACATATGTTGCCATCATTATTTTCTAAACATTTACATTCTGGTAGAGCCCTTGGTATCAGCTCCTCTTTTTACCCTCCCAACCCCCTCCTACCCTGTGACCCCTTGGTGAATTATAAATTATTATTATTTTCATATCTTACAATGACTGCTGTCTCCCTTTTCCCCTCGGTTTCTTCCCCCTCCTCCCCCCTGCCCTCCTGGTATCACGACTCCCATTTCTGTTCCTGAGGAGTTTATCTGACCTGGATTCCATGTGTCCTGAACTCTTACCTGTACCTGTGTACATGCTTCGACCTAGCCCACAGTGAAAGGCAGGATTGGGGTTATGATAGTGTGGGGTGAGGAAGCCTCAAGGAACCAGAGGAATGTTGTGTGTTTCATCAATGCTATAATTCACCCTGGTTGACTCATCCCTTCCTTGGGGCCCTTCTGTCAGGGGCTGTCCCATTGTCTACAGATGGGTTTTGGGTTTCTGCTCTGACCCTTCTCATTCTCAACAATACATTTGTCTGTCTGTCTGTCTGTTTGTTTGTTTGTTTGTTTGGGGTCTTCTGATACCTGTTACGTGATCCTGTCCACACCTCATGATCACACAGACTGGTGTGCTTCTGTGTGGGCTTGCTGCTTCACTACTAGATGGCCACTTATTTAACTTCAAGTCTTTAAGACCCCAGATGCTATACCTTGATAGCCAGGCACCATCAGCTTCCTTCAGCACATTTGCTTGTACACCCCTTTTGACTTCAATGATCCTGCTGGGAGGGGGAGCAACACAGAATGCCAGGTTGTCAGAACAAAGTGTTATTTCATTGAGGTAGGCCTTGATCAGAGGCCCAAACTCTATTCACTACTTCAGTGTATTGCCATATAAATATATGTACATAGGCCAATACCTCTATTATTATGAATTAATATATTTACACATGTACACATTTATGTTTATAGCTCTAGATCTTTCCTGTTTCCTTTTACCTTCCCCCTGTCCCACCACACTCGCCCTTCTTCTGCCTCTTAATAATTCCTCTCAGCTAGATTGCTGTTGCTCCAACACCCCCAGGATCTCTACACCCTCCTCGTTGATTTTAATTCCCAACTTGTTCCCCTGTTTATGGTGTTGTTGCTCACTGCTCCCTTCCCCCACCTCCTCCTCTCCCTAAGTCCCTCCAGAGCCTTCGGTCCTGTTGCTTTCTCCTCAGGCTTGCTTCCCATGCCTATCTTATACAGGTAGGCAAACAAACAACAACATAGACAGTACAAAAAGAAAACAAAAAAATCAATAAAAATAGAAAAAAAAATATATATAGGAAAATAATAATAACTAGCCAAAAAAAAAAAAAAAAGCATAGATAATTCCAGTTCTGTCCACTGACCTTTGTGACAATATCCGCATTGGTCCTGCGGCTTTCTTGGAACTGCCCCTCCTAGCCTGAAGTCTATTTTGTGGGCTCCTCAGGGGCTTTGTGGCTTTGCCTCGCTCCTGTTGCTGATCTGTTGTGTTCCTTTCTGGGTTTGCCCCACTGTGGGGGGTTCAGAGTGGATTCACTCCCCGGCGTGTGTCTCCAGTTTTGTCCTCTGTCTCAGTATGCTCCAGCTAGGGGTCATCATGTCTTGAGCTGTTGTCGGCCCGACCGTGATCTCTGTGTCTTAGCAACTCTGTTTCAGGGATGTCGTCCTTAGGGCTTGGTGTGCTGATATGGTGTCTAGAACCTCACTCTCTCTCTTCCTTCTTCCTTTGCTTCCGTGTGGGTGTGGCATGCCACCCCTCTCCCCAACCTGTAGGCTAGCGTTGTCCTCTGTAGCACATATGTGTTAGGGTTCTCTAGAGAAACAAAACCAGAATGCTAGTAATTATATATATAAATATATATATATATTTATTTATTTATTTATACAGATAGATATATAACATAAGAAATAAACAGATAATTAAATTATAAAGCAGTACAAATGGCTCAGTGCAACTCACTCCTGTGAGACACTGGCAGTCCTTCAAGTCTTGAGGGCCGCCGGGTAGTCCTCTGTAGAGCAATTCAGGCTATCCGGGCACAGGCAGAAAACACCAAGCAGGTCACCAACAGTCAGTCAGATGACAGGGTCCGACAGTCCCCAGCTCAAGAGATGTATATTCCAATGGTGTGGTAAAGCAGGTCTTGAAAGAACCTCAAATTACAGCGACACAGTACATGGGTTAGGTGTCCCACAGGTAGTGTAGCTTGTAAATTGAGGCACAAAACAAGCAAGGCAGCCCGCACACTGGTCCAGTGACCAGAGAGCAAGAGACAAGAAAGGGGAGGCTCCCCGAGCCATTTATCTCTCCACCCTTCAATTAATCCCACATGTGTTTATTGGCCAGGTTGGCACAATAAACTAACCACTTCAACATACTTCTAGGGAGGGGCTCAGTTTAGCTCTGATTGGGGCCAGCCCTGTAGCCCACTCTGTTCAAGTTGCTCCATGGAGTTACGTTGCCCTCAAGGTTTTGTGTGCCGTGGTGGTTCTGCATGCGCACCCTCATTTCCGTGGAAACATAACCAATACTCTCCCCCTGGGAGGGTTATCACCCTGCTCCCCTAGTCCCTCGTCTCCTCCTTCTATTACCCACCATCTCTCCCTCTCTCTTCCCCCCATCCCCTTCTTTATGTTGGAATGACATGTACATCCTTGGGTTTGGTCTATCTTCCACCCTACTGCCTCTACCTCAACCCATATAGTGTGAGATAAGTGGCTTTTCCTCTATACCTACTGTGCTGATTCTACTTACCTCAGGGACTCATGTTGTACTTGTCATTTTGTGACTGGCTAACTTTGCTTAGCATCATTTCCTCCAGCTCTTCCCATGAGGCTATGTTCTTCACGTGATCATCGGTGTTTTAAGGGATGCGCAGTACTCCACTGTGTGTATGTGCCAGCGTTTACTAATTCACTCATCTATCGATGGAAATTTAGGTTGTTTGCAATTGTGAACTGCAAAAAATTCTTTGCAATTGTGAACTGCACCACAATAAACATTGGGGCACAGACAACTGGTCATGGTCTATTTCTTACCTCTTCTGGGTATATGCCTAGTAGAGAGATAGCTGGGGCATAAGGTAGCTCAATTTCCATTTGCTTTAAATATCACCAGATCACTTTTCACAGAGGCTGTACATATCTACATGACCCCCAGCAGTGGAGGAGAGTTCCTATCATGCCACTTCCCCTCCAACATTTATTGCTCTCTGATTTTCTGATTTGGGCTATCCTTAAGGGTGTCAGGTGGTATCTCACATTTGTTTTAATTTGCATTTCTCTGATGGCTAATGATCAGGAGCATTTTCTCATATTTTTTGGCCATTTGGGTCCCCTCCCTAGTGAAACTTCTTTTCAAGTCTTTTGCCCACCTCTTCAGGGAGTTAACTGTTTACTTCTTTTTGCAGGGTAGGTAGGTACTGTAGATTTTAGTAAATAACTGTTTACTTCTTTTTGCAGGCTAGGAAGGTATTGTAGATTTTAGTAATAAGCCCATTGTCTGTTGTGTCATTGCTAGAAATCTTTTCTCAGTCTGTGGGTTCTTTTGTTATTCTCTTGGTGGAAACTCTCGCCACACACACAGGTGTTTATCCTTAGCATATTCCATTTGTCAGGTTTACCTGTGTGTTTACCATTCCCTATTGCAGTTAGCCAATGTATTCCCTGGGCCATCGTTCTTAGGTTTGTCCTGATTCCTTCATTGGTGGTCCTAATAATTTGGGGTTTTACTTCTA